GTCTTTTCCTAGTCGAAGCTATTCCGGGAACACTTCTGGACGTCCTTCGTCTGCGCTGTGGTCTAGAAGAGGATGTCAACGGCTTTGGTGACGACCGTCTTACCTAAGGACGGGAATGCGTACAGGTTACGGAAACGACTATGAACAGTGAGTATATCGGAGTATAACATGTAATGCTATCAAAAAAAGTTAAATGGGCACCGTTCCACGAGGCCTTCGACTGGTTCCTGATCTCCGAGTACTGATTCGTCTCGCTCTCGTGAATTTAGGGGAGGGAGCAGTCTAAACAAGATTCTTTCTATTCGGTTATAATAATCCTGCTAGCTATTAACAACATACCTGCACCAATCAGAAGCAATGGAACCGAAATGAAAAAAGGAAGGAAGGATCAATGAACCAAAAACTTTATATCACTAACCGATCTTCGACGGCGAATGCGTCGTGAAACCATTGTAATCCTCGCTGTTGGGATCTGAACACAATAACCATTGTCTGAATATATGTCTTGGAAGAATTTGGGATTCCTCAAAGAATGAAGAATTCTAGGTGCTCGAAAGTTCTTCTTCGGAGTGAAAGCAAAATGATACAACGACTGTACCGAAACCCCTTTTGCTTTCGCACTTGTTTTTAATGGCCGTACTCCACGCCAACTTATGCTTACCGTTCTCGGACTTAGGGTTGATCGAAGCCTTCGTGTTTTTGAATATTTTCTCGAGCTGAAAGTTGAGGTAGCCGTTCTGGATGAGCTTGCTGGAGACGTTTGCATAGTTCTCGTATCTTGTGCTGAAGTTGTCGTCGGCAAGATTGTAGATAAGGAAGTGGCTATAGCTGTCGATTCGGTCTCCTTGGCCGCTCCTTCTGTGGTCAGTGTCGATGACACAGTGGTGGCGGTGGTTTCGTTGTCGTCGCGAAGCGGTTCAAACGTCGTCGTGGACGGAGCTGTTGTGGACGGAATCTCTGCAGTGGTCGGCTCGCTCGCATCATCCAATGCGGTCGTCGAGGTTGCAGTGGACGAGGAAGGCCGTCGCTGTCGATTCGGTCTCCTTGGCCGCTCCTTCTGTGGTCAGTGTCGATGACACAGTGGTGGCGGTGGTTTCGTTGTCGTCGCGAAGCGGTTCAAACGTCGTCGTGGACGGAGCAGTTGTGGACGGAATCTCTGCAGTGGTCGGCTCGCTCGCATCATCCAATGCGGTCGTCGAGGTTGCAGTGGACGAAGAGGCCGTCGCTGTCGATTCGTCTCCTTGGCCGCTCCTTCTGTGGTCAGTGTCGATGACACAGTGGTGGCGGTGGTTTCGTTGTCGTCGCGGAGCGCTTCGGATGTCGTCGTGAAGGGAGCTGTTGTGGTTGGATTCGCCGTAGTGGTCGGCTCGCTCGCATCATCCAATGCGGTCGTCGAGGTTGCAGTGGACGAAGAGGCCGTCGCTGTCGATTCGGTCTCCTTGGCCGCTCCTTCTGTGGTCAGTGTCGATGACACAGTGGTGGCGGTGGTTTCGTTGTCGTCGCGAAGCGGTTCAAACGTCGTCGTGGACGGAGCTGTTGTGGACGGAATCTCTGCAGTGGTCGGCTCGCTCGCATCATCCAATGCGGTCGTCGAGGTTGCAGTGGACGAGGAGGCCGTCGCTGTCGATTCGGTCTCCTTGGCCGCTCCTTCTGTGGTCATGTCGACGACACAGTGGTGGCGGTGGTTTCGTTGTCGTCGCGAAGCGGTTCAAACGTCGTCGTGGACGGAGCAGTTGTGGACGGAATCTCTGCAGTGGTCGGCTCGCTCGCATCATCCAATGCGGTCGTCGAGGTTGCAGTGGACGAAGAGGCCGTCGCTGTCGATTCAGTCTCCTTGGCCGCTCCTTCTGTGGTCGATGTCGACGACACAGTGGTGGCGGTGGTTTCGTTGTCGTCGCGGAGCGCTTCGGATGTCCGTCGTGAAGGGAGCTGTTGTGGTTGGATTCGCCGTAGTGGTCGGCTCGCTCGCATCATCCAGTGCGGTCGTCGAGGTTGCAGTGGACGAAGAGGCCGTCGCTGTCGATTCGGTCTCCTTGGCCGCTCCTTCTGTGGTCACTGTCGATGACACAGTGGTGGCGGTGTTTCGTTGTCGTCGCGAAGCGGTTCAAACGTCGTCGTGGACGGAGCAGTTGTGGACGGAATCTCTGCAGTGGTCGGCTCGCTCGCATCATCCAATGCGGTCGTCGAGGTTGCAGTGGACGAAGAGGCCGTCGCTGTCGATTCAGTCTCCTTGGCCGCTCCTTCTGTGGTCGATGTCGATGACACAGTGGTGGCGGTGGTTTCGTTGTCGTCGCGAAGCGGTTCAAACGTCGTCGTGGACGGGAGCAGTTGTGGACGGAATCTCTGCAGTGGTCGGCTCGCTCGCATCATCCAATGCCCGTCGCGAGTTCAGTGCGATCGGAAGCAGCGCCGCCGCTGTCGATCGTCTCCCTTGGCCGCTCCCTTGGTGCACTGTCGCCTGGAACAGTGTGACCCGGGTTTCGTTGCTCTGCTCGACGAGCCGCTCCGGATCCGTCGCTCGTGAAGGGAGCTTTGTGGTTGATTCGACGTCGTGTGTCGGCCGCTCGCCATCCATCTCACTGCGCTCGTCGAGTTCACGTGACGAAGAGCCTCGCTGTCGATGCTCAAGTCTCTTGGCTTGCTCCATTCTGTGGTCGACTTGCGACACAAGTGTAGGCGTTGGCTTCGCTATGTCCGTCGCGAAGCGGTTCAAAGACATTCGATCGCTGGACGGGCAGTTGGGGGGAATCTCTGCAGTGGTCGGCTCGCTCGCATCATCCAATGCGGTCGTCGAGGTTGCAGTGGACGAAGAGGCCGTCGCTGTCGATTCGGTCTCCTTGGCCGCTCCTTGTGTGGTCACTGTCGATGACACAGTGGTGGCGGTGGTTTCGTTGTCGTCGCGGAGCGCTTCGGATGTCGTCGTGAAGGGAGCTGTTGTGGTTGGATTCGCCGTAGTGGTCGGCTCGCTCGCATCATCCAGTGCGGTCGTCGAGGTTGCAGTGGACGAAGAGGCCGTCGCTGTCGATTCGGTCTCCTTGGCCGCTCCTTGTGTGGTCACTGTCGATGACACAGTGGTGGCGGTGGTTTCGTTGTCGTCGCGGAGCGCTTCGGATGTCGTCGTGAAGGGAGCTGTTGTGGTTGGATTCGCCGTAGTGGTCGGCTCGCTCGCATCATCCAGTGCGGTCGTCGAGGTTGCAGTGGACGAAGAGGCCGTCGCTGTCGATTCAGTCTCCTTGGCCGCTCCTTCTGTGGTCGATGTCGACGACACAGTTGTGGCGGTGGTTTCGTTGTCGTCGCGAAGCGGTTCAAACGTCGTCGTGGACGGAGCAGTTGTGGACGGAATCTCTGCGGTGGTCGGCTCGCTCGCATCATCCAGCTCGCATCATCCAACGCGGTCGTCGAGGTTGCAGTGGACGAAGAGGCCGTCGCTGTCGATTCAGTCCTCCTTTGGCCGCTCCTTCCGTGGTCGATGTCGACGACACAGTGGTGGCGGTGGTTTCGTTGTCGTCGCGAAGCGGTTCAAACGTCGTCGTGGACGGAGCAGTTGTGGACGGAATCTCTGCAGTGGTCGGCTCGCTCGCATCATCCAACTGCGGTCGTCGAGGTTGCAGTGGACGAAGAGGCCGTCGCTTGTCGATTCGGTCTCCTTGGCCGCTCCTTCTGTGGTCGATGTCGACGACACAGTGGTGGCGGTGGTTTCGTTGTCGTCGCGAAGCGGTTCAAACGTCGTCGTGAAGGGAGCTGTTGTGGTTGGATTCGCCGTAGTGGTCGGCTCGCTCGCATCATCCAGTGCGGTCGTCGAGGTTGCAGTGGACGAAGAGGCCGTCGCTGTCGATTCAGTCTCCTTGGCCGCTCCTTCTGTGGTCGATGTCGACGACACAGTGGTGGCGGTGGTTTCGTTGTCGTCGCGGAGCGCTTCGGATGTCGTCGTGAAGGGAGCTGTTGTGGTTGGATTCGCCGTAGTGGTCGGCTCGCTCGCATCATCCAATGCGGTCGTCGAGGTTGCAGTGGACGAAGAGGCCGTCGCTGTCGATTCGGTCTCCTTGGCCGCTCCTTCTGTGGTCACTGTCGATGACACAGTGGTGGCGGTGGTTTCGTTGTCGTCGCGGAGCGCTTCGGATGTCGTCGTGAAGGGAGCTGTTGTGGTTGGATTCGCCGTAGTGGTCGGCTCGCTCGCATCATCCAATGCGGTCGTCGAGGTTGCAGTGGACGAAGAGGCCGTCGCTGTCGATTCAGTCTCCTTGGCCGCTCCTTCTGTGGTCGATGTCGACGACACAGTGGTGGCGGTGGTTTCGTTGTCGTCGCGAAGCGGTTCAAACGTCGTCGTGGACGGAGCAGTTGTGGACGGAATCTCTGCAGTGGTCGGCTCGCTCATCATCCAACGCATCATCCAACGCGGTCGTCGAGGTTGCAGTGGACGAAGAGGCCGTCGCTGTCGATTCGTCTCCTTTGCCGCTCCTTGCCGTGTCCGAATCTCGACCGACCGTTTGGCGATGGTTTCGTTGTCGTCGCGAAGCGGTTCAAACGTCGTCGTGGACGGAGCAGTTGTGGACGGAATCTCTGCAGTGGTCGGCTCGCTCGCATCATCCAATGCGGTCGTCGAGGTTGCAGTGGACGAAGAGGCCGTCGCTGTCGATTCGGTCTCCTTGGCCGCTCCTTCTGTGGTCGATGTCGATGACACAGTGGTGGCGGTGGTTTCGTTGTCGTCGCGGAGCGCTTCGGATGTCGTCGTGAAGGGAGCTGTTGTGGTTGGATTCGCCGTAGTGGTCGGCTCGCTCGCATCATCCAGTGCGGTCGTCGAGGTTGCAGTGGACGAAGAGGCCGTCGCTGTCGATTCAGTCTCCTTGGCCGCTCCTTCTGTGGTCGATGTCGATGACACAGTGGTGGCGGTGGTTTCGTTGTCGTCGCGGAGCGCTTCGGATGTCGTCGTGAAGGGAGCTGTTGTGGTTGGATTCGCCGTAGTGGTCGGCTCGCTCGCATCATCCAATGCGGTCGTCGAGGTTGCAGTGGACGAGGAGGCCGTCGCTGTCGATTCGGTCTCCTTGGCCGCTCCTTCTGTGGTCGATGTCGACGACACAGTGGTGGCGGTGGTTTCGTTGTCGTCGCGCACTTCTTCAAATGTAATCGTGGACGGAGCTGTTGTGGAAGGACTGACCACAGCAGTTAGCGTAGTCGCTTCATCAGCTGGAGTTTTCGTCGTTGAGATCACAGTGGACGTGGTGGTTGTGGAACTCGTTTCGTTCTCATATGCCGCTTCTTCTGTGATCAATGTCGGTGACAGAGTGGTGGCGGTGGTCTCGTTGCCGTCGCGGAACGGTTCAAACGTTTCTATGTACATAATTGTAGTGGCCAGGCTTGTCGGAGTTGTTAGCATGGTCTCCTGATCTTTTGATGAGGTTGCGGTCGTCGGGGTTGCAGAGGAAGAGATAGCTGTAGCCTCGACTGCTTTTGCTGAGGTCGGTGTTGATGAGTCATTCACAATGCGCTGGCCATTTTCTTGAGATATTTGCAATGTGCTCCTCTGTACTTCGTCAACTGCTTCTCCGTTTGGGTGTGTAAAGAATTCGGTCTTCCTAGCCAATACCGCTTCGTGCAGTAGGTACGCTGGTGTGTTCTTGGACATTGAAAGTGGTGTCTTAGGCATATTCATGGTCCGCTTTAATTCTCCATAATTTTCACGAGCTGTTAGTGATGCACCATTGTTAGTTGATAGATTATGCGATAGTTCCGTGTCGATTTTGCCCGAGCGATAGGAAGCTGCCTAAATTCCAGAATTATGGGCAATGCAACATTATTCGAAAGATAGGTACTTACTTTCGCAATGGTGTGCAGTAGTAGAAATAAACAGACGAGCACTTGCATCGCTGCTCTGTCACCGTTGATTCTCGTTGGCTATTTATCATCCTACTTGTTTACAACAAATATTTACGAACAGCGTTAATTTCATCTGTGCATTGTCTGCTGTTCAAACAATGTAGTTCAATATAGCTGTTCAGACTAGATATTAATAACTGCGTTAAAATGGGGCTTAGAACTACTGATGATGAATAGATATGAGTCAAGAGAAAATATATATGTCCTCACCTCCAATTTATTAAAAGTTATACACCGTGGTAGGTAACTTTCACTACTGTCGATATTGAAGCTGAGGAAATTTTTTTATTATTTCCTAAGAAACAGTATGATGATTTCATTGTGTCTGAGAGCTGCACCCCTTTATTCTCATCCCTTCAAGGCAGGACCGCCACTAGAAGAATCGTGTGTATGAACATTTGGTTCACTCAGTGTAATTTTTTGCATCTTCGGTTGGCAAGTGCTTGGAATGAGCCAAAGTGGAACAGCA